TTTGCATGATTACATTGCATTGTTCATGTTGCATGATAGCTAATATGCTTAGGTTGCATTGCATCAACATGCATTCCTTGTCCCTTGATTTGGGTGATAAGGATTGGGAGATTGTTTGATTGATTTGCATTGCATTTGAAATCAAAGTTGCATGCTTGGTTCTTTGGGCCATCATGCATGGAAATGCGTGATTGATGGTCCGAGAATCGAGGCACATGCCCCTTTGAGTCATTATCATGATAAGGGACATGGTTGGTGCATACATGCCTTGAATTGTGCTGCCATGCCTTGTTTTGCCCTCTGTTGCTGTGAGTTGCAGGTCCTACAGGCTTTCTTTGCCGACCGGCAGTGTAAGGTGCCGGCCGGCAATCTTTTCTCTGCCGACAGCTTCGCTTTGTGCCGATGGCCATACAACACTGCCGGCAGACTTCCTTTGCCGACCGGCAGTGTAAGGTGCCGGCCGGCAACCTTTTCTCTGCCGACAGTTTCAATTTTGTGCCGATGGATACATACCAGTGCCGGTGATGATTCCACTCAGCCGGTGGTATTCCCCAGTGCCCAGGGATGTAACCCTGAGGTTTTGACAGCCTCCAGAGGAGTGAAGGAAGGGAAACAGAGGCAGCTTGTGCATGGCGGCGTGCTTCTCGAGGCGTTTTACTGTTTTTATTAGTCTATTTAATTTGATAATTAAATTAGGCAATTTGTAATATTAATTAGCTTGCGTAGTTAATTAATTTGTAATATTTATTCGGTCCCTCCGAGCGAGGGCAAATCTGTAATAAGTGTGCGTAGGTGATGTATGTCTTCCAACCTCACTTCTTTCTTCCCTTTTACTTACCCGCTTTAATGGTTAGTATTAGGGCACGTTTAAATTAGCATACCTTATGCTATGCATGCATGCATCCATGCATTTGTATTACATACATTAGGCTCGGTACATCATGCTAACTGCATTTGTACTTCAAATTCTAAACTGAATATGTGATAGTTGTGCATTCTCACATGCCATGTTTAGGATAGCCGAGCCTATTCTAGCAACACTTTGTATGCGATGCATTAGGCACTTAACATGGACTTGGATCATGCATGTTTGCTAACAAGTTCTTTGTTTTGGCACCATTGATTTTCTACCTATCTTAGAGCTTTCTTCTCCAAACTTGAGGTAGGGACTTTCTTAGAGTTATATATATATATTAGCAAGATTTTGTTTATTTCGAAGTCTCCTTTGTTAATATTGAAAACTTGATGTTGATTCAACAATGTGGGTAGTTTGGGGGTGGTTTTGGTGTCATGTTTCTTTAAAATAATTTCTTGTGGGACTTGAACTACACTGATTGAGGAATAGTTGTTTTGAAGAAATTCTTACAAGTGATTTGGGTGTGCGTGTTGTTGTGGTGAGAAAAACCTAGAATTTAGGGGCTTTTAAAATATGTTGAGAATACATGGTTGACATTGTATAAATACTATTTTGTGTATCAAAAGAGTGAAGGATGAGGAAATTTCTTTTATATATATATATGCATATATGATGATGAGTTTCATGAAATATAGAAGTTGTTAATATTGAAAGTTGTTGCTCAAATGTTGCTTTACTTTTGAAATGACTAATTTGTTGAGAACATAAGAAATGTGGAAATATTGTTATTTTTGATGAATTTGAATAGAAAGATGGTTATCTTGCGAAATCATATTGGAAATGAGAAAATTGGTGATATTGGTTTTCATGGTTGAATCATGGGATGAAATTGTAAATGGAAGGGATATTGCATTGCATTGATGATTGTTGCATTTTCATCT